TAAGAGGGCCGAGATTAAACCTGCATGAATCAGTTTTCGTAGTATTATAGGAATCTCTATTTTCCGCATTGCAAAGACATGACACTTTCGCTAATTTTTGCGCAATAGCTAATGTCGAAAATGTTTCTCGAGCTGACATTTCTGTCAGCTCGAAGTTTCAAGCAAATTCAGAAGGCTTAAGAAAATGGGGGGCGAGTATGTAAATTAGGGAAAAGGCTTTCGCAATGTATACATAACTTGAAAAAATTGCGTAAAAAAGCGTACAGAAGAAGTAACGGAATAACAATTTGATAAATTCCGATATGGTAACCGTTGAACACACAAAATAGAGTGCCGAAGTACTCATTATGTACCCTTAAGTATTGTCGAGATTATCCAAACTTACGCAGCAACGTGAGAATGCATGACGCGTAAAAGGCAGAAATGAACTGTAGGATGTTTGGAAATAAACCAATTATCCGTGAGTGGCATCTCCTCTAGAAAAAGGTGGAAAAGCGATGGGCGAAGGCCCATCATCTAAAAGAATGTTTGTAAAAACTCATTAGTAATTTAGTTAGTTAAACACATACCACAATCAAACTGCTCTTGAGTGAGGCAAGCTTCGCAAAAGCACCGATCAGGATCATCAGGCAAGCCTCCCTTTCTCTCAAGAATTCTATCTGCTTTTCATCCGCTTCGCGAAGTGAATTTATTTCCGCTAAAAAATGAAAGCATAAGTCTGTCATCAATGCAGCAGGCTGAATCACTCACATAGAAGTTTTTCTCTTACAGAAGTGTATGATGCCAGAAGCAGGGGCAGTACAGAAGGGTTCATCATCGAAGTAAGCAAAGAGAGCAATGCGGATGCGAGCTTGGGTCTGGAAAAAAGGACTAAGTACATATGCATAAGTTCGTAACTAACGAAGGTCAATTAACAGATTGAGAAGTAAGAATGGTGTTACCAAAATGTAACATATGGAATATTGATGCCCGATCGAACAGGATTAGAAAAAATAAAGTCGTGAGGTTTAAGGTAGTTTCACAAACAAACAACCGCTTCAAACAAAACGTGGAGGCTATTATAGAGTGCTTATCCACGGCTTGCACAAAAGCCAAAAAGGTTTGCATTCATACCTTCCCGAAACATCAAATGGAAAAAACGAATTCTCTTCAAGAATTTTGAGCTTTTCTGTGAGAGAAACAGTGAACTCCGGAGGCAAAGAAGAGACCGTAAAAATCTGAAATATTAACTTTGATTGAGGAAAAGTGCTCGTATTTGAAGTATACCATCGTAAAGTATTTGAGACAATTTACGACAGCAGATTCGTTGGTTCTGTACTTGTGCATAATATCACTAACAGTCGCCGAACAAAGAGAAACAACGTTGAGATGCTAAAAAGAATTTTCAGTAAAGAAGCCGTAATTACTACTTTCAATCGCTTACTTGAATATCAGCTAGTGGAACACCTGTTGAAAATATGACACAATATTCTGACAAAAACATCCCTACGCGGAAAGACGGTTCGAAACCTAGCTGTGCTATACTAGACTTGCACGATGACAGTGTCTGGAGCAGCAATCACATCAACATATACCATACATAATATAAGTTGATTTTCATGAGAAGTAAAGAAACCTTTTGGAGAATATCCCAGTAGAATTGTTGCACACTATTTTGGTCTTGGATATAGACTTCGAGAAGAACTATTAATATTTCCAGGACGCCGCGTGCTTTATTAACGCAACTGCGCAAGTTGCCATGCTTTTCGTACTCCTAAAAATCTGATAACAGTGTTCAACCAAGAGTAGCTCAAACGCGAACCTCAACGTATCCTCCAACGTCGTCTAGAAACTGTGACATCAAATGGCTTCCAAATTCAGGACGCGTGCGCCAGAAAGGTAGCAACGATTTGATAACTTCATAACATTTCTTAGGTACGGACGCCGGCATTGAAGATTCTAGTGCCCAACCAAACAGATAGTCCACGATCTCCTATAATGACAATATTTCCCACCGAAATGAATATGCAGCTTTGCTCCAACTATGAG